CAGGGGCCAGGGGAGCAAGTCAGTAAGCAATGATCCTCCATGGCCTGTGCTCTAGCTTCTGCCTCCAGGTTTTGTTGGAGACCTCTGTTATGCAAAGTTGAAGTCCCTTCACGACCGGACAACTCATGCAGCTCGGGATCATGTGCTGAGGGCTCCTTTCATAGCAGGGTGTCTTCCTGGCATCTTTCCTGTCTCTCCTTTTGAAGTGTCCGCCACAAATGCCATAACATAAACATGACCTTTGGCTCTGAAAGGTACCATGCCTTCCTGTAATTTCTCCAGGCAGACAGCAGTCTGGCAGAAACCCACTTCCATATGTAAACAGAATGCCTCACAAAGCATCTAACAGCCAAAGCTTTTACCACTACCCCCATGGTATAAGTATCCTAGTTTTCTCTTAATAGACAGAAAGCTAGGTCGCAGAAAGCTGTGACACAGAGAGCTGGGTCGCAGAGCTGCTGAATTACTGAGAGCAGAGACACTTAATAAAGCTGTAACACAGACTAAGCCAAGTCTTGAGTTCTGTGCCTTACTACCGGCGACCTAGCCTCTCCGGGGGGCGCACTCCCTCGTAACCTGACCAACTTGCGGACATCCTAGCTTTCGCTGTCTTCATACTTTTCCCGTGGGGTTCAGTGGCCAGTGGACCTTGCATCCTGAGGAAAAGTACATGGGTGGAATAGGGACAGGATTTCGGCAAGACAACGCTCCTGCAGCAGAGAAGCTCCCAGAGACACGGGACCCGAGCCGCAGGGAAAAGCCTGCGGGGCACCCGCCCCGATGCCTGTGGCCAGACCTGCCAGCGACTAGCCAGGTGTGGCGGGACCCCGAGATCCAGGGGCCCAGAGCGACCCCGAGACACCCGCGCATACCACGCCTGAGGTCCATAGAGGCACAGAGAAGCCCGCGGGACCAGACCAGCATTCCTCCAGACCACGGCAGGGGAGTGCCATTCTGGGAGTGCGCCCAGAGAGTGTACACGCCCTATAAGGTTTCTGTCCTGAATTCCTACCTTGGGCTCCCTGATGAAACGTGACCTGGGAGATGTAAGATAAAGAAATCCTTTCCTCCCCAAGTTGGTAGTGGTCAGAGTGTTTTGTCACAGCAATGGAGAAACAAACTAGGACGGGGTGTAAAGAGCAAAGTGCTGCCACGTAGCCACTGGGATCAATATAGAAATTGGGCTGGTAAGATGACTCGGCTGGGAAAGGAGCCTGCCACCGAGCATGATGACCGAAGATCATTCCCCAGGACCTATGTGGTGGAAGGAGAGAACCAATTCCCACTACTTGTCATCTGACCTCCATATGTATGCTATGGCACGCACGCACGCACACACAAAATAAAAGCGCATAAGAATTTTAAAGAGAAAAGTGAGGAATGGGCATGTATGTAGCTCAGGGGCAGAGCACTCACCAGCATGCTGAGGCTGTAGGTTTATCCCCAGCATCACAAAAAAATTTAAAGAGCCAGCAAGATGGCTCAATAGGTAAAGGCACCTGCTGCCAAGCCTGATGACCTGAGTTTCATCCCCTGGATCCACAGGGTGGAAGGAAAGAACGGATTCCTGTAAGTTGTCCTCTGACCTCCATTTGTGCACTATGGCACACAGACAAAATTAACATTAGCTGGGTGTGGTGACACACTCCTTTAATCCTTTAATCCCAACCCTGGGAGGCAGAGGCAGGTAAATCTCTGAGTTTGAGGCCAGCCTGGTTTATGGAGGCTAGGCATGAGAGGGTCCTGGTCTAAGCCATGACGTGGTCAGCTGCTGATCCACTGGAGCCAGAACCAGAACAACTGTCCCATGCAAAGGCCGAGACTGAAGGTGGCACTTCGGTCACATGCCCTTGGCCAGGATACAGGACACCAAGGCCCTCAGGGTCACAGGAGCAGACCAGGGCCTGAGGCTCCCAGCCCTGGCTTCTTAGTTCCACTGTTTCTTGGCCACACAGTGATCAGACAGCAGGACCTGTCTGTCTCTTTCCAGTTCCTGTTCTTGGGCAGGCCCAGGGCTCAAGAAGCAGGAAGCCTCAGGAGTGGGGGGCCGGGATACAGGAGGAGATGAGGGACAAGGAGACCTAGAGGCAGAAGGTGGGCAGAACTACAGCCAAGGAAAAGTGAGGGCCACCAGAATGTGACAAGGGCTAGTGCCCAGCACGTGGGGACAGACACGGCTGCCAACAGGACGCCCTGGGCAGTTTTGCTCTTTTTAACAGTAAGATCTAGTGGGGAGTGGTGGCACACTCCTTTACTTTAATTCTAGCATTCAAGGCCCAGCACTTGGAAAACAGGTGGGGGATATCTGTGAATTTAAAGCCAGCCTGGTCTACACAGTGAGTTCCAGGCCAGCCAGGGCTACATAGTGAAACCCTGTCTCGAAAAAGAAAAAACAGAAAAAATATCTAAATTGGAAAGCCACACACATTTCTAGTTCCCTGCTTACCCTGAGAACACAAGGGCTCTGTCACTGTCACTTAGGACTGGGCAGAAGCCACCAGCTGATGGGGCACAAGTTGCTCCAGGTTCACCAGGTCCCCTCCTCCACATGTCCTTGGTGGCCATCTGAGTTTTGGAGCATGAGAAGGGGTCACCGACTACAGTCTGCTACTACCCAGCCAAGGAAATGGAGGCACACAGTAGGAGGTAGGTCCTAAGGCTGGGAATGTAAAGTCTGGGCTGTCCCAATTCTCAAGATGGCAAGCCCTCCCCACACCAGGCAGAATCTGAGTATTTTCCCCTCAAACTCATCTCACTTTGGACCTGGGTCAGGTTGCAGATCAAAGGCCCGAGTTCTAATCCACAGAAACCATGCATAACATACTGCCTACACCCAAAACTACCCTGGTCAGCCGGAGCCATTCTCCCCATCCCAGAGAGACCACATGACTCTTGAAAGTCATGGCACAAACCATCAGTCTGGAAGGCCTGAGAGGGGCCTAATCAGAGCCACCTTGCAAACAGGCATGCTGAGGCTGGGTAGGGCAAGGGCTTTATTCAGGACTCAGGGGGTCCCAGACTCTATTGTTCCCAGTTGCGGATGATTTGGGCAGAGCTGCAGCAGTGACCGTCTGCTGGCCTAGGTGTCCGTGAGGGATGTGGTGGGGAGGCCGAGAGGGAAGGGAAGTTCATCTACTTCACAGCCAAGCTTGGCATCAGTTTGCCCTTTCTGCCCCAAATACCCTACACTTCTGCTGGCCTCTAGCCACCAGAACAAGGGACAGGAGGTACAGAGAGAGGGCGGGAACAAAGAGGAGGACAGTAGGAATGAGAGAGCAGAAACCAGAGACACGGATTAGACCAATGAGGGAACACAATCAGGAGAAAGAGCCAGATGGAGGTGGACAGGAGAGCTCAGCCCAGTACAGTGGGACCAGGCCTGGCCAAGGCCCCAACGCCCTGGCTTTAGTCAGGACCACTGTGGAGTGAAGTCCAGGTCTGGCTCCAGCCTATAGGACAAATCATTGTCCCATGGTCCTGACACCTCCAGGGAAGAGGGCAGTCATAGCCGTCCAGGCTGGTGGACAGTCTGGCCAAGCAGCCTTCAGGAGGTCATCCTTCCAGTTGGGGCACTTGGGAAGTATAAGGCAGGTGTCAGATGGCACCTCTGGAGGCTGGTCACCTTGCCCAAGCAGGTAGGAACAAGGGTTTCACAGGCTCACAAGGCTTCTCTCAAATCCCGGCATCTGGCACCCTGTGGCTCACTGTGGTGAAATGCAAACACTGACTAGAGTTGCATAGAATCCTCAGTGGCTCCCAGGCCCCGAAGGACTAAGTCCAGTGCCTGAGCCCTGAGGATCGGCCTGAGGTCTCCACTGCCTCACCCCTGACCATCCCCTTCATCCACCCATACTGGTCTCAGGGCTCAGAGATCCTTGCACACACTAGGCCCCAGGCCTGCCAGATGTGATGCTACTGTCCTAGAATTCCTCACCACCGCATCCTGCTAACTTCCACAGCCAAGGTGGAAACTCAAAAACTAGGACACATCTGCTTCATTTCAGTCCTGGTATGAGGGGGGGGGAAGGCCATCACTGTCTGCTAATCTCATGAAAATATCTCCACAGAGCCTGGCAGGGTGCTCCCCGAATGCCAGGGACTCCCCAAGGCAGATGCCAAAGATACAAGGCCTTCCCTTCTCCTGGGCGATGCTGGCCTAACCCCAACCAGCACTGGTGTTTAGGGGATGCCTGTGCACGACACGTGGGGAGAGCGAGCAGGGGTCTCAGCTTCCTCTGCAGGAGAATGCTGTCAGTTCCTGGTGTACGTTGCCTGGCTACAAGGAAACTGAAATAAGAGTACATGGGGAAGGAAGGGCCTGCACAGTCAGTGCCCCACAAATGTCGGCTATGTTAGTTTACTGTCAAATGCCAATCACCTCCTGCTGAAGGAATCCCCAGAACTCAGGCTCATTGCCTTCTACGCTCTTGCTTTGTGCACAGGCTCCTCAGATGTGCCAGGCGCGCTGCTCACTTCAGCACTTGCTGTTCTGGCCTAGCCTGCATCACTTCCTCAAATAATCTCAAGGTCCCTTCCCTCTGGCCCTGCCTCCCTTCAGCTCTGAGTTCAAACGCTTCCAGCTCGGTGAGGCCTGAACTGTGGGTTCTCCAAACAGCACCCTCCTCCCTAATATTCTCCCTTGCCCTGTATTTACTTCATAGCACTTGTCACCATGAGGCAAGGGAGTATTTCCTTTGAGGGTTCAATGCCTCCCCCAACCCCCAAATGTCAGTTCTGGCTTAGAGAGGCCCCCACTAGTAGGAGTTCAATATACATCAAACTTGCCCTCTCATTTTCAAGTCAGATCCTAGGAGGCCAAAGCCACACAACCCAGTGCACAGAGGCAGCCAGAGGGGGCCTAGGGACAGGAATTTGGAGGAACCAGTTTGGCCAGTGTCTCCTTCACCCTAGGACAGTAGAGAAGGCCTAGACTGAGGGTTTGATGCCCCAGGAGGCAGCCTGGGGCTTGGGGAAGCCAGGGACAGATACAGACAGATAAAGGATCAGGGAGGGTCTCAGGGAAGCTCAGAGCTATTAGGGCCAACTGGAAGGAGTTAGGGGACAGACCAGCCATTCACTCAGAATCCTTAACCTTTAGTTCCTAGGCCTCAGGCCAAGAACCTAAGGACCAGAGTGGCAAAGCTTGCTCTGGGCTCACAGAAGGGCAGACTGCAGGGTGAATTAGAGGGAGTGCCTACAAGGCCCAGTGCCACACAGTGGGTTAAGAGCACCAACAAGGGGCAGAGAAATTTCACCCTGTGCTCATGGGAGAAGGAAGGAAACCAAAGCAAGGGAGGATAGGGGCTTGGCCTGGGTCCTGCCGTCTTGGATGCCACCCACCTCCCCCAAGAAGAGCAGGAGATCTTGAGGCTGGGTATTTGGGTGTGGCCCCAGGACCCAGCCCAACAGAACAGGCACCAAGACAAGCTAAAAATTCACATAGAGCCAGGAAACAAAAGGCCAAGACAGTCCCTGGTTATCTAGGACCCAAGGAGGAAAACCAAGTGGCTCTAGGTCACATGTCATGTACGGATGAGATGGCATCAAACCCACCCAAGCCAGGAAAGAGCCGAGAGGGTAGAGGCCTCAGCCCCACCCAGGTCCGCACACTGTGGCCAGTTGGAAGACTGAGCACATGTTGGAGAACAAAGCAGGTTGGATGGTGACACTCTGGTGTGGGGGGAGCTCAGGCTGTCATCTGACTTTGGACAATGTAGAGGCATTTCCTCAACCCCCAGGGACACCTAGTTAGGTGGTGACATGGCTGGGGCTCCCTGGAACTGGAGGACAAGATGGAATGGTACTTGCTGGGACAAGAGGCAGCAAAGCACAAAGGAGCCAAGGAGCCAGTTTGACCTTGGGGGAAAGCAGTAGAGTCAGAAAGAGGGTCTCCCGGTTGTGAGTCTATCTGGAGCAGGGGCTCCACCCCAAGTCCTAATGGAGAGGCTGAAAACCGGGCATGGAAGAGGGGCAGAGCCTGGGCTGGGCTGTTAGGGGAGCTGCCCAGAATCCACCAATGAGGGGTGAAGGCTGGCTGTCCCAGCCCATGGGAGGGGGAGGGGAGAAGTTCACGGTCCACAGCCACTGAAGCAGGACTAGGATGGAGCTCTGGAGAGGAGCGACTGGCAAAGTCTGCAACTAGGAGTTCCAAGTTAGGGGTCTCTCGGCTGGAGGGTTGACGCCCCGATTGGGGGTGGGTCAGTTTGCAACCCAGGGCCCTGGCTAAGATGCAAAGGGGATACGGGGTGTAGAGTCTCGATGTGGAAGGACCCAAGATGGAGTGACTTCAGGTGGCCGAGAACAGTGCCCCTCCTGGCTGAGGGGGGCTGCCTGAGGCTTGGACGCCTTAGACCGTGTTCCGGGGTGCACAGGGCAGGTGAGCGAGCAGCCAAGGGTGGGGTTCCTAAGTCGCCCAACGTGCCCAGCGGCTAAGACTCCAGATCTGAGGGTGCGACAGGGCAGTTCCTCCATCAGGGAGAGCCTCCAGGGTTTGGGTTGTGGCTTGAGCTGGGCAGGAGGGCTGGGGGGGGGGGGGGGGGGGGGGGGGGGGGGGGGGGGTCCCCTGACCTCGGGGCGGCTGCTCTTGGCAAGTTTGAAGCCCCGGAGCTCTGCTCCGAGTGGAGGCTGGGGTTCGGATGGGGCCGGAGTTCGAATCCAGCGGGGGGTTCGGGTGGAGTTGGACTGCGAATCCGCAGTGGGTTCGGCCGGCCTCCGGTCCCGCCTGCAGGCCCCGTCCTACCTGGCGAGTAGAGTGCCGCCAGCTCGCGGGCCCCAGCGTGCTGCGCGCCCCAGCGCCGGCTGTCCGCCGCCTCATCTCCGTCCAGCCTCGGCCCCCGGCCCGGCGCGTCCTC